TTGAATCCACAGATGTAGAACATTTGGATGTGGGGTGCTGAATACATTAGGTGTTTATACCACATTACTCTGAACTTTGAAATAAGATTCCCTACTATGTGTGAAATGGGGCTACTGTCAAGTCCTTAACTCAATTTATTCTAACATTTTGAGATAACCAAACAAACTTCTGCCTGTTCTGTATAATCAGAGCAAGAAGGTAGGTGAGAGGTGCAGGCCAGAGGACCTGATAAATAATGTCATGACATTTCTTCAGAACTTAACAATCATTAAGGATTACCAATGAGACACCAGTACAAGTCCTACCAACAGAAGAACAAGCAACTTTAATCCACTAGATTTATTTGCCCTTATAAAACCTAGACTAACTACTGCTCACGATGCTGATTTTTTTTCAGGTTGCAAAATGCTATGAGTCACTTTAAGGACAAAACAAACTATAGCTGACTTTTATTAGTGCCAAGGACACAGTCATTCAAAGATGACTCACGCATCCTTCCGCTGTACATCTCTTAGAGCCCTCTCAGAAACCAAGGGAGATGTTGCAAGCTCCACAGTCATCTGACTCCAGTGCCATGCAAAGAAGCCATTTCCACATTCCTTCAGGGAGATTTGTTTGAAGTTCAAAATCCAACTTAGATGTCTTCACTCAAGTGGAAGGAAGCTAGTCTCAGTGGCTCAGCAAAGCTTCACTTACCATTTTCTGTTTTACATGTTGCCTCAAGGAGCCCAGGATACAGACTAACTTTAGAGTCTATCATGTTTCTCCCAGATATATATTCTTACTTCTATTTTCAATCTTCTATTGAAGGAAGCATCCTTTTCTAGAAAACTAGAGAAATCAACTCTATTTAGATATGACCCATGTAAATATCTTTGGGATTTCATCTGTAATCTTTGCCTTTTACTGATCATTATATGTGTTTCCTAGATAACCACTTCCTTCCTTGATCGCAAGAGTCTCATAATCATGCTGCAAATGAAAGACTGAGTAATTCAAAGTATACATCCATTTTATTTCAGAAATTTATAGTAGTCTTTCTTCCCTATGTTTCTCTTTGGTTACTATAACTGTCACAGTAAAAGATACACAATAAAAGGAAGCCAAATACCTTTGGAACAATAGCAATGCCATCAAAATTGTAGTGGCACAAACCTGTAACTTAGCACTTGGGAAGGTGACAATTTCAAAGCCCACAATGTGTTTGAAGCCAGCCTGAACAACTTAGTGAGAATTTGACACAAAATACTACAGTGAAAAGGACCAGAGGGCAGGGGTGAAATATCAATGGAACACTTTCCTGGTATATGTAGGGTCAATCCTCAGGGACTCCTCCTTATAAATGTTGTCTTTGGTGTCGGAGGAAAAGGAATTGTTAAAACACATGGCCAAGTAGTTCTACTCACCTTCTGCCTTTCTATTTGACACAGGCAGACCAAACGTGATATGGTCATGGGCCTTGAGTTATGTTGTGACGTGTCTTATATGTCTACACCCACATGTCTTACCACTGTCCCCTCTCCCTTAGGTACACAATTGTGCTTTGTGAAACTTCTCAGATTTCTTTAAAATATTAAAACTTTGGGGTCAAAAATGCTAAATTGAATGGGCTGGGTTTTTTTTCCATCCTGGAAGTAGCTCTTGTACACCAGGTTGGTCTCGAACACACAGATCTGCCCCCCTCTGCCTCCGGAGTGCTGGGAGTAAAGGCAAGCGCCACCACCAGAGTGAGCGGAGTCTTTTCTTTTTTAAAACCTTATGTTAGTAAAGTCTTTTCTTGTCAGAAACAACACCTTGTTGTATGGTGTGACAGTACTTTCTGCGATGGACAATGAATTCTGGTGTCCATGATTCTTTCCCAGCCAGTGATTCCACCTGGTTTGGATGCCTCCTACCTCTGTGGTCCACGGGAACACTGTTGAACTCAATGTCACATGGGAGCAATAGAACAGGTGTTTTCAATGAAACACTTCATCCAATGGAAGTTTCTGACCTCATCACACCCTGGAAAGCGGTGAAGTCCAAATAGGTTTCCATCTACTTCTGGAAGACAGTCTATGTCTTTGAGACATATTAGCTACTCTCTAGAATTTAGGGCCCTCAGACAAAACTTCTCATTACATTTCTAAAGACAAAAACCACAGATAAAGGGAAAGTAGAGAGTTTTGAGAAACTAGAAATTGGCAATACACACAATCACATGCATGATAAGCAAGGAAGAGAATTTAAACTGTTCCAATAGCCCAGGCTACCCTCCATGTGCCTGGCTCCCACATGCCAAATGAGTCTTCTCCCTTCAAGGACTCTGTGGTCCTGAAGATTTGGCAGACAGGCATGAAGCTAATCTGTGTGAAACCATATGATGAGCATGTGTGTTTAGAAGGGAGAGTCGAGAGCTTCAGAGGAGACTTTGGCCTACTTACTGTCTTCGGGGATAATAGGTACCTGAGGGAGCAAGATGTGCCTCAGCAGATGGGCAAATGTAAGGAAGTAAACCATTCACTTTAAGGCCATTCAGAAAGAAACAGTGAGAAGAGCAGAGGGTAAAGATGATCAGGAATTAAACACTCGAGAGCATTATACAGGAAATTAAAATAGCTGACCATTGCCTAAATTTAAAGGAGAGCTTCCACAGGAAATTTTGCAACTATTTTTTTAATTTAGAGAATATTCATTCAACCCATTTTTAAAAAATTCTGTGGCAGCCTAATTAAGTAAACACAAGCTAGGAGGCAGAGCTCCAAGAAAGACAGAGATGTATGGTGTATGCAGTAAGACCACTATGACTGATGGAAAGCAAAGTAATTAATTGCGTGTGTCAGGAGACCATCAACAAAGTGAGTGGCTTAATGCAAGAGAAATGTATTGATCTAGTACTTCTAAAGGCAGTAAGCCCTAAGTCAGGACATGACATAGTTGGTTACTTGTGGAAGCTTAGAGGTGAACCCATGCTATGCCATGCTCCTAGCCTCGGGTAGATGTGAGCCCTCACTTAGCTTTCCTTGGTCAGCAGACATATCAAATTAAGCTCTTATTTGGATTTATATTCCATTTGCTTTGTGGGTCTCTGTCCCTCAGACCTCACTCTGTCTTTTAAAAGTCAGGGCATGTGTCATTGGATTTAGATCCCTTCCCAAATCCAGCACAATCCCGTTTTATTGCAAAGACTATGGGCACTAAGTCTTAAGACATAGTTTTATTGCCCACTACGTAGATATAATAGGCACCTTTTGTAACAAGACTGTGATTTCTAAGATAAGATTCATCAGTGAGATGTCAAAGAACTCTGATACTGAACCAGACTGTGTGGGATAAAAAAAAAACTGGTTCTGTCATTTGGCAGGCAGTAAAAAGTCTGTGCCTTGGTCTTCCGTGGGAAGATGAGTTAATGCTGTAATACGTGTTGAGGATTTTTAGGAGTTAAACAGGAAAAACTTCAAGGCTTATTCTTTATCTTCCACGTCTATGAAACAGCATGCATTTCCATGGATAGGTTCAGACCAAAGTGTTGTTATACATGGGGGACATAGTGCAGAAAGACGAAAGAAAGTTCCTGTGGTAAGGGAGTTTCCCAGTCCAGAGACAGCGTTACAGCAATTTTTTAAAGGAGAGTGGCTCTCCTCTGCCTTTGGTCTTTAGTTTTAGAACGTCCACCCTCTCGGTTCCTCTAGAGTATATAGGAACAGAATACCATGTAGTCCAAAAGCCTTTTGAAAATTAATTTACCCCTGTGTGCTTGAACTGGCTGTTTTCTCTACTGCAATCCACAGGGGGCGCTATAGGAGCCTGGGGAACAACTGTTTGAAGATGTTTGTGCTGAATGATAGCATAAAGGCATTTATTAGTGTATTCAGTGAATTGTGCAAGAGACACCCTTAAGCACTCTGATACACTAACATGCCGATGGAGAAAATGGAAATGATTTATTTATATTACTAATTTTTCAAATAGCATATGAAATGTTTCATTATGACATTTTTATACATATAGATCATTGTACTTTGTTTACGTCTACTCCCACTACCTTCCCCCATCCAATCTTCTCCTGTCAACTGCTCCCCTTCCTCTTTTACATATTTTTCCTTATGCTTTCATGCATTTATATATGCTCTATCATATATATGATCTAGACCTATATATATTTAAATCTAGACTCCAGTTACAAGAGAAAGATGTGATATTTTGCCTTTCTACCCTCCATGTTCCTTCTCTTGTTTCCATCCTCTTCCTTCCCCAAAGTCTCCGGGGGTTCTACATACATGTCAAATCCACATATAAGAGAAGATGCAGTGTTTACCTTTCTGAGTCCGGCTTACGTTGATTATCAAGTTGATTCCCAGTGCTACTGCGCCCCGCCCCCAGCACCGCCACTGCGCCCCGCCCCCAGCACCGCCACCACACACCATGGAGCTATTTAAAATTCAGAGCTTATACAGCCCTGGAGATCATATGTAGAATCATAATAGTAGCTTATTAAATGTCTCAGTAAAGTAGTAAGTCTGCTCTTTTCTACTTTGAGGGTGCTGGGGATAGAAGCCAAGCTGCAGGCATTCTTATATCGCTGGAGCAAACTGCCTTTCTAAGCAGTTTTGTGGATAACTGAAACTCTTAACATCCACTTTCAGACATCAGTTCCCATCTAATCGAGTTCAGCAGGTATGTTTCTCTTTTGCTATGAACTCTAACCAGTTTGTGATCCCCGTCTCTGATACCGGAGTCTTATGCCAAAGTTCTAACACAAGTTGCTGAGCTAGGTAATCATTAAATGCTACCAGAAATCAAATGCTTGAAGAAAAATTTACCAAACAATCTTTTCCCATTCTGGGGAGCTTCAAAGGGAACAACCCTGCCTTCAGAGTTCCGCCTGCCGGAGAAGGATTGGCAAGCGTGTGCAGCTAACAAGCGTACAATGGCAACAGACGGGCCCCTGTGGCCACGGATGGTGTGGAGTCTGGGTTTGCTGTAGTTTGGCCTCACCGAGCCTTTCCTCTACCCACAGGTGTGTGCCGAGGGTTATGTTCGTTTGAGACCTGCGCGTCAAGGATTGCTTGGTGTCAGTGAGCGTCTGCTGCTGGGTTTCCTGTCTGCCTTCTCGTCATGTCTAACGAAGTTGAAGCCAGCACCACCAATGGTCAGCCTGACCAACAGGCTGCCCCGAAAGCGCCATCAAAGAAGGAAAAGAAGAAAGGTGGGGGCGAGTGTCTCCTGTTCGGCTGTCAAATGAGCTTACTCTCAAGTTCTAGGAAGGGAAATTTTTTTTGGCAGAAGTGATTGGCCTGTCTCATGTGTGACAGTCCTGTCTCTGCACCTCCGATTATACCAACTTAGGTTCAGTTAAGAAAATTTCATGGCATTTTCTTTAATTATATGTTTTTTATAATTATTTTTGTTTAAATGCATGGTTAATTATACACCCATAACTATTGTGTCATTATCTTCCAGTGATCTCTTTACCACCTTGTTTTACTAGCACCACCAGTTTTGAAAAATCAAAACTTTGTTTTTACTATAACACTCTTGGCTTTAAGTACTAGAGAGTGCTCAAGTCCTTAGTGTGCCAGAGCTGGAGAAGGGGCCATGGGCTTCCTGCTCTGCTTTGGCTGCTGCCCTCAGCTCTAGAAACGAGACAGCATGGGCCTTTTGAGAAGAGAAAAGAAAAGAAGGGATAATTATCCAATTACAGCCATGGTAATTTACCCTCAATTCGCTTTTGTTTCTTGATGGTTCAAAATGTTAGAAAATAGTTTTGTGCCTTATTTTCTTTTCTCTTTCATTAAAGGAATATGCCATTTTCTAAAATTCACTCAAAACATTAAAAAAAGCTTCGATGAGAAATATTTCCAATTCGCAATTCATGTGTTCTCATGAATTTCTCATCTGCATTTTATATCTTAAGGAAGTGGTTTTCTGTTTGTTTTTTCCTTTTACTCTCAATTCTATGTTCAATATTGAGAGATTTTGCTCAAAAGAAGAATGAGACAGTGGAAATTCCATGTGTGACCAATTAGTGTGTAAAGATTTATGCTATTCCATTTGGGGGAGATGCTGAGCACATGTGATCATACCTAAGGCGGACATTTAAATATAAGCTTTTTCCTGCCTTTCTTTTTATTTCTCAGGCTCTGAAAAGACAGATGAGTATCTGTTGGCCAGGTTCAAAGGTGATGGTGTAAAATACAAGGCCAAGCTAATCGGGATTGATGACGTGCCTGATGCAAGAGGAGACAAAATGAGTCAAGATTCTATGATGAAACTCAAGGTAAAGAAGCCATTATCTGTCTTAACCATGTGTCTAGAAGGGGATTCTATTAGCTCCTATCAACCCAAACGTTTCCATTCACATATTTATCCACCAGTGTTTTCTTCAGAGAGGTCACTCATTACTTGAATCTGTTGAGTCTTGTTCTAGACTTCAAGGGTGGCAAGATGCTGGGTGCCTTTTCATTTGGGTAAACTCGGTGCTCAGGTGAGCAAAGCCTGTCCCTAAACTCTCCATCCTTAAAGGATTTAAAAAGCCATGGGCAGTTGTGTGTGATATGTCTTATTCTGCATAGAAGACACAAAACAGGGACTAGAAGAATGACTCCATGGATAAGGTTCTTGCCTTTATTTAGATCTTCAGCGCCCACAAAAATGTTGCATAAGTGTAGGCGCCCATTTGTCAGCATGATGGTCAAGGGCAGAGACAGTATGCCCATAGCAAGCTCGACTAGAGAATCTGTGAGCTCTGTGCTCAGATGAGTCCCTGCCTCCATATATGAAGAAGAGATCAACCAAGAAAGATGTTCGCTATCATCCTCTGGCCAAACATACCCCAAAGTAATAAAAACTAAACATTTAAAAGAAGTCACAAAATTACTATTGGCTGAGAAAGTATTCAGGTAAAATGCAGGACTGTACTTGGGCATGACCAATCTGCTTTTTGAATTTGTATGTCTTCATGTGTGTCCCTGTTCATGTGTATGTGTATATGTGTGCATGTGAATGTGACCAGAGGTTGACATTGAGTACCTTCCTTAATTGTTCTCTGCCTTATTCTTTGAGACAGAGTAGCTCACTGAACCTGGAGCTTATCAATCTGGTCAAACTGGCTGGCCACAAAGTCCCAGGAATACTCCAGTCTCTGCTACCCTGGCACTGAGATTACTGGTGTGTGCCATAGCATCCAACTTTTTATGTGGGTTTTTGGTGATCAAACTCAAGTCTTCATGAGTACATGGCAAACATTTACCAACTGAGTAAAGCCCAGTGTTTCATAATTTTTCATTTCTATACTCTGCTACTATGTGGACATAATTAAATAATACAAGGTTTAGGAGCCATCGTGTGTGTGTGTGTGTGTGTGTGTGTGTGTGTGTGTGTTATAGAGATTAAATTTATGAGTTTGCCTACACTAGGCAAGCATGCTTTCACAGAACTACATCCCCAGTCCTTGAAGAAATAACGTATATTTTCTACTCTGTCCATTACCCTTGATCAAAAATGCTCCCTCCTTTCCTCGATGACATCCAAGCTGAAAACAAAGCAGTTCGTCTTCTAAAGTTCTTGCCATCAAAAGTATTCTAGGGTATTTTAACATCTATTTCCCTGATTCTCTCAATCTCTCCAGGGAATGGCAGCAGCTGGCCGATCTCAGGGACAACACAAGCAAAGGATCTGGGTCAACATCTCCCTGTCTGGTATCAAAATTATCGATGAGAAAACTGGGGTAAGAATTTGTGCTTGCTAGCAATGGCTGACCACCTGAGTCTGACCATGGTTGAATTCCGGTGGAAAATTTCCTTTCTTCCTCAAGTAGAGAAAAGAATAATATCACACATGGCTTCTCTAAAATAGACAATAGGAAGAAAGGAATCAAGATATCTATTTTGAAATTCATTTCCTATAAAGATGTGAAGAAGCTCCTAAACACAGGTGTGCTGCTGCTGTTGCTTGCTGTTTATTTTGAGCTTCCGGCTGAATGAGGTTAATCTCAATACCTGACTTATTTTAATGGATTGGTCATGTGTGAATTTGGTGGCTATTTCCAAACCTCTAGAATGTTTCTCATCTCTCTTTCAACCCTGTCCTTGCCAATCTGCAGATGTCAACTTTTGGTTGCTGTTTTAGTTTTCTTTTTGTTTTACTTGTGGTGGCAATTGTTCTATCACGTAGAATAAGTTTTGCTTCTTTATTGCTTGTTTAGTTCATTCTGATGAGTACCCCACAGCTGTAGTATTTCAGGTCTCCTGTGGCGCTTTCCCCTTTATTCTATAAAACGTTGTCATCTGTAACTCTGCTATTCATATCAAGCCAACATGACAAGATCTATTCATCCCTTCCAAGAGGTACCTGTTATCTAACATGCAAAACCTGCCTGCCAGACTTAGGGTGAGGGCACCATGGTATATGCCCACTCAGCTCTCTGGTCCTTAGTTCCTCGGGTATCTTTGTCTTTTATCATTATCCTTCTGCCTTTAGTAACTTATTTTCTCAAGCCCCCCAGACAATAGTTGCCAGTTTCTCTCATAAGCATTATTTCTTTCTCCTCCAAATAAGATCCCTTGGCATGCAAATTTTAATATTCATTTAAAATGATAAATATATATTCATAACATTTAAGAGACCATATAGCATTTTAATTAGTTTCATAAAAGCTTCATTTGGCAAAAATGTCTTATAGACTAAAGATCAGCTATCAAATCAAACTCAACCGGTTCAATAGTATCTGTTGACTTATCTTTTAGGTGATCTTAGGCATTTGAAAATAAAATTCAAGAAACATTTTGCCACCTACAGATATCTTTCAAGAGTTGGACTCGTATGCAGGCTAGAAAGAATAGAGAAAAAAACTAGAGTCTCTGTCACATTTACTTCCCCTAACAAGGTCCTTCCAGGACAGGGTGAAAATGCTTATTGGCTGCATTTCATAGCTCAAGGGTTTGCTGGGTTCAGTCATTTTAACAAAATACAGGAGCCCTCTGGGCAATTCTTCAGCTTAGGCTGTTCATTTAAGTTTGTCATTTAGTTAGGAAGTTGGACCTACTTGAGTTTTGTTTGACTTCAGTATTTCGTCTTGCTGTTTATTGTGGTAGTAGCTCTGATTTTGGTATGTGCTCACTTGGTTGTTCAGATGGTCAGATGGTTTTGAGGTACTATCTTGTTGTGTTGCCTGGGCTGGTCTTGAACTCATAGGGAAAACTAATGACCTATCTCAATCTCCCAGGGATTATAAAGGCCATATCACACCCAAATCCACTCGGGGTGATGTAATGGTTACATATTCCTCCTTCACTTTAGAAATTCTTAAATTCCTCTCAGTCCTTCCTTGTGCATGGCATTATGTCTTTTGGATAGAATGAGAGGCAAGTACTTATACTTTTGGAAAGAATGTTCTTCTACTTTTGTTTTCCATTAACTCTTTCTTATTGGACTCCTTCCTTTGAAGGAAGGCTTTAACCTCTTGATGTATGCCTTCTTATAGCCTTCTGATATAGCTGTAATAGTCAAAAATTCTATTAACACTCACTGTTGTTCTTTTATGTTCCCTTTCTAGGTAATAGAGCACGAACATCCAGTAAATAAGATTTCTTTCATTGCTCGTGATGTGACAGACAACAGAGCGTTTGGTTATGTGTGTGGAGGAGAAGGCCAGCATCAATTTTTTGCCATAAAAACAGGGCAACAGGTAAGCTCTAAGACATTGTACACCATTAGTTATCCGGGGGTGGTGATCCTCTATAATCCAGAAGATAATTGTAAGGAATCTCAACAGGAAGTAGAAAGTATGAATTGTAACTGAGTGTGGAGAAAGGGGAAAGATGAGGACAAAACGCTGTTAACACTTTTTGTTGCTTCAGGCCGAACCTTTAGTCGTCGATCTTAAAGACCTTTTCCAAGTTATCTACAATGTAAAGAAAAAGGAAGAAGAAAAGAAAAAGGCAAGTTCTGTTTGATAGAAGTTCTGCTGGGTCTATACTGTACTCAGGGTCTATTTAGTGTCATATTCATAAGCCCTGGCTGAAGAGATGGACTTCTTTCCTTCCAAGTATAGACCTGTCTGTCGTTCTTAGCAGGGCAATTGTGGGATTTCATGTTTAGCAACATCTGATCTCAGTCTCTGGGTCCCTGTAACATCCACATTAGTTAACGGACTTGACAGAGCAGCCTAGCTTAAATCTGGAAATTTAGCATCTACGTGAAGTGGGAAGGGGAACATATCGCAAAATATATAAGATTTTTTTTTCCTTTAACTCTGAATCTGGCAGTATTTGGATCCCAAATCCTAAGCTCAGTGAATCTGTCTTTCTTTTTAGGTTGAAGAAGCCAGCAAAGCAGAAGAGGTAAAGCTGCCTCTTTACTTCTTGTCATGTGTGTGATGTGTGGAAGCCATGTTGGCTCCATGCAAGAGCATTCTCCCCTCCTGACTTGATCCTCTGGTCTAGTGACCACTCTTTTCATGGAAGATCATTGGCTAAAGTTATTAGGGAGCAAGCTATAACAGCTTTGTGGAATAGTCAGGCATGGAAATGAATGTTATGGGGCTACTTCATCAGTTCCGATCCTTTAATATTTGCCTGTTATTTTCAGAATGGGAGTGAGGCCCTAATGACTCTTGATGAGCAAGCTAACAAACTGAAGCTGGTATGTTTGGGATGTTTTTGTGATCCTTTGAACACGGGTTTCTACCTCCTGCAAATGTTGCTAATGCTGGACCTATGTTGAATCCATAGTAAAATTCAGTTAGGACAAGTATTTTCCTATGCATTCAAGTAATATCTATGTTAGTCTACCACATAGTCTTTTGAGTAGATCAGCAGTTCTTCTTTAAGGCGTTGACCAGAGTGATGTGCTTGGAGACAAGCCTTCACTCTCTGACATACGTCGCTTAGTGTCAAATCTGTGTGCAATCAAATTGTGACAACTATTTCCCCTAGTTTAGGACACAAACAATTACAATGATAGACAAAGTCATTGTTTTTAGTAGTCACATCTGAATCTAATCCAAATACTTTTTTAAGGGTGTTGACCAGATGGATTTGTTTGGGGACATGTCTACACCTCCTGACCTAAATAGCCCAACAGTAAGTGTTTTGCTTTTAAATTTGCAATGTAATTGAAATAATATCTATAATTCCAAATTTACAATTAACCAGAAAGATTGAGCATTTCCTGACAACTTGAAACGTCTTGACTTTTCCTCATGAAATAGAAGTGGCTACTAGAAAAATCATTTGATTCTTAAGTCACTATAGGAAGCTACCACTACTAATTCAGATATGTTAGTATAACATAGAGGTTAAATCTGTGCTACTACCCAACCATTGTGCTTCTTCTTGGTAATAATTTGGGATCAGAAGAAGAGACAGGATTATAATTCTTGGCATAAGTCTACTTGAAAGAAGTATATTTGTTAAATGATAAATCCTAAATTGTTTAAATTTCTTTATCTCTTTTTCTTTTCTTTTTTTGCAATTTAGCAGCATGAGTTTCACATGAAATAAGAGTTAAACAAGGAGCTAGGCATGGTGGCTCACACCTTTAATGCCAGCACTCAGAAGGCAAAGTCAGGTAGATCTCTGTAAAGTTGAGGCCAGTCTGGTCTACAAAGCAAGTTCCCCAGGACAGTCAGAGCTGCACAGAGAAACCTTGTCTTGAAAAACAATAAACAAACAAGCAAAAGAAGTCAAACAAGATTCATTTTATGATTAACAAAAGTCTCTTCATTTAGAAAATTGCAAGTTTTTATAGAGCATTACCATAGAGCAAAGTCTTCTCAATATTAATGAATTTGTGTCAGTCATGTGAGAATATAGCAATATTTTCCTTTATTGATATGAAAATATTGGTCCAGCAAAAAAAAACCTCATTTATGCTCAGATTTAAGATCATATTCTTTAGATCTTCTATAAAGCGGTCTTCACACAGAAGTAGTCACATCATTTCAAATCAACACTTGTTATTTATTTCCTAGTTTCCTGAGCACCTGCTATTGACAAAACATAGTGGCAAGAAAGACTTACATTAGTGTTACCGTCAACCATTCTGTCCAGCAGGGACAGGGTTGAGTCTAGTGACAAAGCCAAGGGAATGATGCTAAACAGAGGATGTTCGCCAAACATGCAGACTCAGATAATGTTTCTTTTTATTTATTTATTATGTATTCAGTGTTCTGCCTGTGTGTATCCTTGCAAGCCAGAAGAGGGCACTAAATTTTATTATAGATGGTTGTGAGCCACCATGTGGTTGCTGGAACTGAAGTCAGGGCCTCTTAACTTCTGAGCCATTCCCCCAGCTCCCATTGCCCCGCCCCATAAGATTTCTAAGGAAGGGAGTTTCTAACTTGAACACCAAGATAAGAAGGCAATAGCTTGGCAAACAGTAAATTATTGCATGTAGACTAATAGAGGACATGTTTGCATAAGACTCTTTTTAAATCAAGTAAGGTTTTATGATGTGCAGAAGATTTCAGGAACTGAAGTGAATCAGAGAGAACCTGGGAAGGATTCTCACTCACCAGAGTACTACAGAGAGGCCCAGCATGTACACCCTCACTGCATAAACCCACAAGTCCACTGAATAATGGACTATGTACACTCTTCTCTGGACTCATGAGTGAAGATCACACTGTACAGCATCATAAAGTCCTTGCAGAGCCTACAATACAGGAGCTAGAACTCCTGGGTGGTCTTCTAGAGACTTTCCCCTCTTGCTTGTCCATGGGACTTTCGTTCTTTATAATCCTTAGTGTTTTCAGGGCAAGATTTTTGACATCTTAGGTTAGCTAATGCTGGAAGGACCATCCTAGTTCTGGGCTCCTGTCACTCAACGGTCTTGGCAATTCTTTATTAGTAGATAAAAGAAATTGATAGCTGTATAATCATCTTTCAAAGTGCTACACTGAAACGGGTCCTCCAAGAGAGTGGAAAGCTCTTGAGACACAAGTGGAATTGCAGAAGAAGCAAGAAGGCACTTACTGTTTTATTGACTTTTGTGGACTTCTGGAGCATTCTATCGCACCAAATGAAAAACAGCATGGATGATCCTTATCCTAGAGTTCTCACAAACTAAAAATGTTTTATTTGTAGAAATTCAAGTTTTAGTTTAAAAAATAAGCTAAAATGATAAATTTAATTAAAGTAGATTCTATCTGGTAAGTTTTTTTAAAAAAATGGTTAACAGGGCTAATTATTTGTTGGCTAGACATTGGCAACATATTCTGTTGCATTGAATCCATATGCAGAGGTCACAAAATAGATGTTTCTCTGACTTGTAAAACTAACATGCTTCAGAGTTTTTCAACTCTTAAAACAACAGCTCTGGAAAATGTAAAGTATAGAAAAATATCTAAATTAGACTCTCTCAGTTATCCCTAGTGGCTATGGCTCCTCCCAAATTGATGAACAAACTTTTATGCACTTTAAACAATATGTTGACATCTCTTAGAACTTAACTTTTTCTGCAAAATTACTGGAACATTATGTTTCATGGTGCTTTAGAAATAAAAAGAAAGGGGGAGAAGAAGAGAGAAGACAGTACAGAGACACAGAGACGGGGGAAAAGTGAAGGAGGAAGAATAGGAAGACAGGAGGTACATGATCTTTCAGCTTTAAAAACCTGACCACTTGAAAGACTACAGAAAATGATCCACCATCACAGCGGTTAAATCTGGCATAAGAGGATTAGATTTGGGTACAACGTTTAAATAATATGTGTATGTATACACATTTATACCCCCAGAAATGGCATGGGGTAGACACAGGTAAAACTGAAATAGAAATATTAATAAGAAAAGTATAAAGAAAAATCTGAAGTTGAGCTGGTCACTGAAGGGTGGAGAGCAATAAACAATAGCTATGGTAAATCAAGCGGGGTTCTGCCATGTAGCATTCCGAAAGTAGCTCTAAAGATGCTGGTTTTAATGCATGTATGGAATGACAGGAAGCCAACAACAGGGTTGAGGCTTCAGCTAGTAACCATTTCTGGGAATAACCATCTCAGCTATCCTGAGAAGAGCTGTAGATCTCAGTGTTCCAATGCTGCCATCTCTGCACCCCTTGCTGAAGCTCCTTGAGTCACTTTGGTGCCTGTCTGCAGGTGCTCAGGTGGTAGCCCAGTGGAGTGCTGACAGTCTACAAAGCACCCTGGAAGCTCTGACCGGGGAAGAAGATGAGTCTTCCCTCCATCCAGTCTAGTCTTTTACTTAGACTCTTACGCTTGGATCGACAACAGCCCTGACCTGAAGAGAGCCTTATACATTTTGCTCGTAGGGTGACTCTTCAGAAGTCTAACACTGTGGCTCCTGTTTGGTGTCCTAAGACCTTGTTCTGAAGTGTCTGGAAAGGAGAACTCTACCAGCTGTGAACACCCAGCTATGCTAACCTAGAGGTGGCTTTTAGAAAACAAATACTGAAATCAAGCTTCCAGAATGCATCTTATCCCACCTTTTGATTGCTCAAAGATCCACTCATTAAGAAGCCTTCCAATTCATTTGTTTGATTAAAGCTTTTCAATTTAAGCTCTTTCTTGTGATGAATTCTTCTAGGTATAAAAAGACAACCAGGCTTTAAAAGAACAAAACAAAACAAAAACAAACAAAAAAGCAAAACCTGATTTCATATTTTCTGGTTAAAAAAAAAGTAGAAAGAAAATACAGCTTGAACCTGATTTTGTGGTCTCTTCTATGGTCACAAAAGAGAAACAGAACTTTTTTCTCTTTCTTGAAAAGACTGAGACTTTTGAATGCTTCTTGTCCTTATTAGCTGTAAAAGTTCAGATTTCTTTGAATTTTTCTTGTCCCAGTGATCAAAATGGTACTCCACCCAGGTTACTACTAGATGTCTACTTTAGCTTCCTTCCAGCTGGGCAATGTTTATTGTTTATAGTCTATGGCTGACATAGTTAAGTATTTAATGGATCAAAATCAGACAAAAAGGTTTTTCCCAGTGTTTTAAATTGCAATTACTTATGAATTAGAATAAAAACCTGTCAAATTGGTAGCTTTGATGCTAACAATTTTCACAAAACAAATGAAGAAACTGGATAATTAACATCTGTATTTTTCTAGTGGAATAGAGAAAAGGGGGAAATAGCAGAATTATGCGTTTTGCATGGTTTGAAGATTGCATTCTAAACCCTCATTTTCCTCTTAGTTATTAGCTGACTTCAATGCTAAATAGACAAGATCGCTCCCACAATACAGGAAATAGGGGCAATATATTGAAAATATGTACATTTACATGAAGTTGGTGTGTAATTGATTAGATATGCGCAGTATTTTGAGTGTCACATACAGAAGAACACACACAAAAGGTGTGTCCAAGAAAGGATGAGAATGACAAAGAGGTCCAACTTGACCATTACCATTAGTAAGATCTTAGTTCTTTCAAAGAGTCAGACTCACAGACTGAGATAAAAATGGAGTATCTTGTTTTTCTCCCTCAACTGACTTTGTCACAACAATAACCATGAAATTTGGAGCTGTGGAGTATAACTCAGTGGTGGTAGAATGCCTGAGATACTCAGAGCCCTGGTTTAATTCCCAACACCATACACACGCATGTGCTTGTGTGCACATGCGCGTGCACACACCACACACGGTACACATATGAATATTAATCAATGAATTTGCTCATTTAGAGAGGGAATGTTAGAGACTTCTGAAAAAAACTATGATCTGTGTGTTTCACAGGTAGGAAGCTGGACCAGGTTTTTGAAAATCAGTTCATAGGTTCAAACAGTATATTCAGATAAGCATTTAGAATGAGTCCCAGTTAATTCAAAAGCATGAATTAAACCACACAGATAATGAACCTAGCCCATCTGAATGTATGGACTAAGGAGAGGATGAATTTACCAAGATTTCACTGAAGGAAGGGCAGACCCCAGGGGAACTTACAGCTCACATTACAGCTCACAACCAAGGGAGGAACTAATTCCCAGAGAGTAAACACTCCGGGGGTTGATGGGAGATGGTAATAGTCCCAGATTCTAATAGGAACCCCAGTAATCCTTGTCATTTTGATGTAGTTTTCTCATTTGAAGTTATAACATGGACTAACACCGTCTCTCTCTCTCTCTCTTTTTTTCCCCAAAATGTGCTAGGAAAGCAAAGATATCCTGTTAGTGGATCTAAACTCTGAACTCGACACCAATCAGAACTCTTTAAGAGAAAATCCATTCTTAACCAATGGCGTCACCTCCTGTTCTCTCCCTCGACCAAAGCCTCAGGCATCCTTCTTGCCTGAAAATGCCTTTTCTGCCAATCTCAACTTCTTTCCCACCCCTAATCCTGATCCTTTCCGTGATGATCCTTTTGCACAGCCCGACCAATCGGCACCCTCTTCGTTCGATTCTCTCACATCTCCAGATCAGAAGAAAGCGAACCTGAGTAGCTTGTCTACTCCACTGAGTAAAGGGCCCCTGAACGGTGATACCGATTACTTTGGTCAGCAATTTGACCAGATCTCTAACCGGACTGGCAAACAGGAAGCTCAGGCAGGCCCGTGGCCCTATCCAAGTTCGCAAACCCAGCAAGCAGTGAGAACTCCAAATGGGGTATCTGACAGAGACCAGAACGGCTTCCATATCAAACCTTCCCCGAACCCTTTTTTGGGAAGCCCTCCCAAAGGACTCTCAGTACCGAATGGCGTAAAGCAGGACTTGGAAAGCTCTGTCCAGTCCTCCGCGCATGACTCCATAACCATTATCCCACCTCCACAAAGTACCAAACCCGGAAGAGGCAGAAGGACTGCTAAGGTGAATTGTCTTTTCCGCATCCCCATTAGCAGAGTGCATGCTCGGTACCAAAGGGTGGCGTGACGCAAGCTCTCTTCCCCGCTGCTCTTTTAGTTTCCCTGTGTGGCTGTGAAGTAGAAGGTGGGACGCGACACACCGACCCTCCAGGAATAATGCCCCTCTCTAGTCAACATTCTTCCTCCGCTTCCTGGCAGTGTTTGTCACATCTGCTTTCCGTTTGCATGTCTTGTCACTTAATACTAAACTAAACACGAGTTGTTTTTTTGTTTTCCATTGTTAATGCTGCTATGCTTCTGTGCCTCTGGTAAGTTTGATTGTCACGTTCTGGGACGGGAGGGAGAGAGGTCTTGTGATTCCCTTGGTCCTGTCCCCACACTAACTCACCCCGCACACCCATCGTCACTGATGCCCACGGTGGTGGTATATAAAAGTCTCCAGTCTGTCTCCTCTTTTAAATGTAAATGTTGATTTAATAACCCATTGACTTAGAAGCTCACACAGTCACTATTACCAGCTCCGTTCAAAAGCGACTCCGTGTGCAGTATCTGTAGGGGATTCCTCAAAGCTCATAGGAAGGTGCAGACTTACCTAATGCTGAAGCTAGTCGCGTCTCTACGGAAACTGATTTAGATCTAATGGAATGATAGAAATTATTTAGGATACTTACATTACCCTTCCTTTCCCAGCTTCAAATTTTCGCCAACAAGGAGACCAGACTGACATGAAAGAATAAAATAAGAAAAGTCGATTTTATTTTGCAAGTCTAGGTGGTATTATCCATTAATCTGCTCACTACAGCCGTCTTATCCCCACCCCCACACACCTCACCTTTGCTCTTTTATTTGTTAGTAGACGTAATCATTTTCCAGTAATAAAAGATTTTCCTTTATGTGGAGGTTAGCTTTGGGGTAAAGAATAGGAGACAGATGTGTTTGTCTCTGGCCTCAGTAACTCTTCTCCCTCCTTCCCCTCCTTGTCAGTCTTCAGCAAATGACTTGCTTGCCTCAGACATCTTTGCCTCAGAACCTCCAGGCCAGACGTCACCCACAGGACAACCTGCGGCCCCTCAGACCAACCCTTTGGATCTCTTCAAAACAAGTGCTCCTGCCCCGATGGGGCCCCTTGCAGGTCTAGGTATGTTCCCAGGGTTGGAATCAGCTGTGGCTCTGCTGCTGTCACCCATAGTGATGGCGCACAGGAGGAAGGCACTTCCTGTGCTGGTGGCATCGGAGGGGAGGCCTCCAGCTATGCTCCCCTCACTTTAACCCCTGCACAGACCCCACGCCGGTGACATTCCTGTCTGGTAACTGAAATTCAGCCCTCTGCGCTGCCACGGGACAAGAAGTCCATTTTCAGTATTGCATGTCCCTGAACAGCTGGCAGTGACTTTCGGAAAACAGTTGTAAGGGATTCTGAAGTCAGACTGGCTTCAATGGTGAAAGGGAGATGAACTGAGGGAGCCTTGTGTGCTGTCTGCGCAGTAAAAGCAGGGGTGTGCATGCTTTCCATACCATTTGCGGTGATAGGTGGAAGTCTGCCTCCTCTCGAGGCTCAGATCCCCTTACGTGGCCCTGAGCGGGTGCTGGTTAAGCCCGAAGCAAGGCTAAATCATAAAGCGAAAGTCTGGGCTCAGCTCTGCCCCTAGGTCTAAGTAGGCAGGGAATGGGCACGGATTCTGATCTGTTTTTGAAGACTTGCCCCTTAGCAATCCATAAGGAGTAATTTTTCTAGAAGAGCATCTAAGTAGAGCTAAGAGATAAATACTAGAGAAAAGTAAAGCTGGAAAGAGTGTAGATGGAGTTTTCTTAGACAGTGGGATGTGCTGGGGGTTAAAATCTGTTCCTGGCTTTTTGGCTCCCCCGAGCCTCTGCTGCAGGGTGATGGTAGAAGCAAGCACATTGCCTGAGGGCTGGTCCTGTTACTACTCTTCTTCCACAGCCTCTGCTTCTTTCCAGGCTTCATAGCTCAGTTTCAGAACCCCCAACAATAGTCCGCGCCATCCTGCTGGGGGTTCCCTTTGTTTGCTTGCTTCTTGGCACCTGTGCAAACTCAAAGAGACTCTGCCTTGGGAGGTGGGGGACCAAGGATCAAGGAGGACTCTCTGGCCCTTTGGTAAGATCTGAACAGAGATCATGGCTTTCCCTACCCTCTACAGAATCAGTCACCAAGATCCCTTTTCCTTCTTTAATTCCCGTCTTCTCTCCTTTGTTGTTTTTCCCGCAAAGGAGAGAAAATTTCTGTCTCCCACAATAAGTCTGTCTAAACAGGTATGGAGCAGGGAAGAGAAGGCAACTGTTACCAATGCTGAGTGGTTGAAATCCAGGTGAAGGTGGGAAGTCAGTGAGTTCCAGGCTTCTGCTTGATGTTAGAGCACCCAGAGAGACTCAGAATACGCTGTGCCCTTCGGAAGTTGCCTTCTCTGGCATTGCTCTTTTCCCTGTGCCCACAGTGAAGCGGCAGGTGTCTTTTCCCTCATAGAAAGGCAGAGAACTTGCGTTCAGGGTCTCTGACTAGATCACATCCCCCAGAGCTCTGGAGTTTCCTATCAATGCCTTGAAGAATTCTAGCCGCCAATATTTAACAAGTCAGCCTGAAGATACAGCTGGACCCTATAACTGTTAATTTATTCAGACGAAGTGAAGCCTTTTGGCGATATGCCCCCGTGGAGGCCTTGGGGTCTACAACGGCAGAATACTGATGATTCTTCCAAGTTTGGACATGGAACTCAAACTGAGCCCCACAGTGTAGCCCCTGTCCATTGGCAGTGATCCTCAGTCAAAGTCTGGAAGGTTGTAGGTCTGGCTTCCGCTGGACCCAGCTGGGGAACTGCCTCCTCTAGGGATCTGGGGGGGGGGGGGGGGCGGGGAGAAGGCACTACAGGAAGCTGAGCCCTGGGCTTTGACTTGAACCCTGTGTTTTAATCTAGATTCAGAAGGTAATAAAATTAATGCTTTATGCCTGCACTCTCTTTTTCCTCAGTCTTTGCCCCTACTTTCTCCAGCTGGGCCATAACTGTTTTAGAAACATAATGGGCGGAGTCTGGGAGATGGGAAGGAAGGCTGGCACAAAAGCAGACTTACCAAGCCCTTACTTCCTAGCAAATGAAATTTTTTTTCAAAGTTTATTAAATTATGAAAGTTTCCATTTCCGCCCCTCCTCCCAACACCTTCCCCCTCCCCCC